CCGGCCGAGCCCCGCCGAACTCTGAGACATTCGCCCGCGGCACAAGGTTCCACTCGCCCCGCCCCTCTCGCGAGAACGCCGCCTCGCGCGAGACTCGGGCCCGCCCCCGCTGAGCTGGGGGTGGGGGGAGGGGAGGGGAGTGTGCGCGCGCATGCGCCCTGCGCTGCCCGTCTCCTGGCGGGGTGGGAGTGCCCCCGTTCCCCCTCAGCAGCCCCCCGCAAGGGCAAATGTCATTTACTCGATTGCAAGACGACCCCATTTACCAGGAGAGGGGGGTGCTCCATGCCCTCCCTTCGCCCACCCCCCACCTTGCCCTTGCTCTGCGCCCCAGCGGGGGCCGCAGGAGGGTTGGCGTAAGGATGCAACCTGCGGTGGTGGACACATGAATTAAAGGCGTGCCTTTTTATCGCACGCTTTCCAGCTCTAACTTCATCGGTGGATGCACCTTTTTATGGCGTGATAGGTACTTTGCATAGGCAACGTTAGGCGGTCTGAACGCATCGCGCAGTTAACTGTATAATACTTGTAACCTGTATTATAACTCTCCAGGTATTTGTAACAAGTGTGAGCCGTGTGACACTGTAACCTGTAGAGTTACAAGTATTGAACTCTGCAGGTTACAAGTATCTGTAACACTTGTGAGCCGTGTAACACTGTAACCTGTAGAGCGGGGTAAGGGAGGGTCACACAAGCAAATCCAGGTCCTGAGCTAAAGATCGGTCGGCCCTGCTCAAACCGTACCTAACGCTGTCCAGTTTGCGGATGGTTTTTCAAACTGGCTTTTAACTTCTTCCTGCCTGAGAAGAGCGAGCCTGTGAATCGGGTTTGCACGCGCGTGACAGCGCTGACATCGTGCGGCGTTTCACCGCCCGCCGGAAAGGATCTCCAGGCGTCCTGGTTCAAAATCACTGACCTACGCAACGGGTCCAGTCACCCTCTGGTCCCCTGATACGGAGCTGGTCCCTACTGCAGGAGCGATCAGCAACATCTCGGCACGTTGCACAAGGCTTTAGGCTGCGCGTGCCTGCAAGCCGCTGCTCGGGGAAGTCAGAACTGCAGCGTCTCTCTCTCATCCCTGCTCTCGGCAGGCTCCGTGGGAGGAGCAGGGGAAACCTCAAAGGAAAATCCATGTTCAGCAAGCCAGTACTCGGTGTGGCCAGGCCCTGTACTGCAGAAGGATGCACACTCCCTTTTCCTTTCGTGACCCGCCGGCGGTGATAAGTTGCACTGGGACGGGATGGCGGCATTTCCCCCCGGCACTGAGTGTATTTAAACAGCAGCGACACGACGACCGTCATCTATAAAGGACTTCCACAGGGAGAAAGGCACGTGAGGATTGCTGCTTAGCCTTTTGTCCAAGATCCAGTATAACGGGCCTGAACATGGGGAGCCCCTGAGCTCCCAGGCCTGTAGGTCTGGGACTTGCATGTAGGA